CAAATTACTTTTGATCGAATACTTTTTGGAGTAATTTTCTAATGATTTGAATACATTAATTGGTAAGTAATCTCAAGATTACTTTTGGAAATACTAAAATTACTTGCAACCGTTACCTCTTCCTACTCCCATCCCTAAAGGCGCCCCTTGTCCAAGTTTCCAGCAACGAATCTTCGAACCAAGCCTCCGACAGAAGATGTTGTATACCGAAAATTGATAAATTAAGAAAATACATGCAGTATTTCGCGGGGCTATAGTCCGCGGACTATACATGTTTGAAAGTTGGAATTTCTGGCTGTGGGGACTCTACAGGAATTTTGTTTTTCAAGGTCGTTCATCGGGACGAGACGTGACGGAACGTGTGAATGAAATAGTACGTTGATGATGATTTATGTATAATACGAGCTTCTTTGTGAGCTAAGAAAGCAGACATCTGTCAAGATGTGTCGTGTACGAGAAGCTTATCCTGTTAACTAAGCACCAGGGACGGACTATGCACGGCGTGCGGACTGCACACCGGGAGTTCCATGATTGCAACTGAATAATCGACAGCAGGAAATACCCGTCTTGAAACCTCTAGAAAAATCTGCCGTTTTGAAAATCTTAAGGAATCCGAAGAGTAAGGGCATACTTTTTCCACGTAACGGCTAATCACTCTTCTTCTCAAGTAATAAGTAATTTAATTGAATACCTTTTAGCCGATACTGATTGTAATTGTGTTCGATTACTTTTTTTTCTCGGGTACCACGTACAAGCTTGGTCTGAATCGAAAGCGCAAGTACCCTTCATTTGATGGTAATTCCAGACATATGAAATCTGAATGTATAAAAGCTGTGTTAGTATAATCAAAGTAAGCTCGCTCAGCCGGAGCGAGCTTATTTTGATTATGCTAACACAGCTTTTATACATTCAAGACTTCCTGTCTGGAATGTATGAACTGCTGTTGGTTTGAGCATGATATCGACGCTTTGTAGCCTTTAACTTAAAAAAATAAGGTCTTGAACCTATTTGACCGCTCAGCTTAGTCATACAAATTAGCATGTTCCACCAGACTAGGAGTTTTGATGACAGCCTTATGATTCTAAGAAGAGAGAAAAAAAAACGTCGCTTTTTGCTCTAATAGCGTTGCCTGTGCGCAGAGCCCGACACAGTACGAACACATCCTCGGTTGCTTCATTTTTCCCCCTTAGGGATCAATGTCTTGCGCCATAGGGAAATGTTTCCACGTGAGGCATCGAATTGAGGGGCAAATTTTGTTGTTTTGTTCTTAAATGTGCTGTAGATATCATCCAATTTTATCAAAATGCAAAATAAGCGAATGACAAAACATGTATTATTTTTTTTTATTTTATTTTTATGTTTGCGAGCGCCATTCCTTGTACCGAAACTTAGCTCGATCTTTTTATTAAAGTGCAGACGACATGGTGTAAGTGGTTACAATGCAATTAATGCAAAGGTGCAAGCGAGTGGACAAGAATGACAATAATGATCCCTGGAGAAGAGGAACAAAGGGCAGCTGACAAAACCCGTTGGCTCTACTGACGTCAAACTCCTGGTTAGCTCAGTTGACAGAGCGTTCAACTGGAAATGGAAAGGTCCCTGGTTTGATACCAGGACCAGGTTGACTTTTTCTGTCACGCACCAGTAACCTAGTTTTGTTTGGAGACTTGTGTTTGTCCTTAGTCCCCTTTGCTCCCCTTCTCCAGGAGTTATTATGGTTATGGTGTAAGCCATGGTGCAACTTATCCGGAGGCTGTCAACACTTACAGGAAGACCAAGAAAATGCAAGAACGAGAAATAACGCAGCCAGAAAAAGGACATACAATTTCTTGAATGCTTTGATGGCCGAGGTCAATAGTTTTCTGTACGTTGAAATTGTTTTCAACCATTAAAGAAAGACAAAGAAAATTGCAAGAACGAGAAATAACGCAGCCAGAAAAAGGACATTTAACTTCTTGAATGCTTTGATGGCCGAGGTCAATTGTCTTCTGTACGTGTACGTTTCTGTACGTTTGCACATTTGCATTACTCGTCTATGCGACGAGAAACCGAAAGAGAGAAAGGAGAGCGCGCGGGAACGTCAAAATTGCCGAGCTCTGACTGAAATGACTGAAGGATAAACGTAAAGCCTGTTTCTACTCACTCATCGAACGCGTTCGAATGCGCGAACGCGGAACGCTGGAGCCCGCCTTTTGACAAATGGACGCGTTCGAAGTGTGAGTAGGGACATAGGCTCCTCTATACACACAACGCCTGGAAGTTTGACGACGGAGCCATAGAGTGCCCGGTCGCAGATTTAAAGCGCGAAGATCTGGTAGTACAGAGCATCAAAACTTCGACGTCAGCTCTCAGCTTTTGCAGCGGCGAGGACCCGAGACACACTTGTTCGCTGAAGTTGAAGTATCCGCCCTATGGGTTGTGAAAAAAAAATGCACCAGGCGGGTGATACCCAAACTTCTCGCTGCGAATATGCTCCGTTTGCTCTTAAGCTGAGGCTAGAAGCTCCGACCTCACCGTGAGCTCGCTGATATCCGCGGTGCTTTGGTTGCGCGTGCCTCCATGATCACGCTAGTTTTAGCAAGGGAAGAAAGCTCGCGCTGAAGGTAGAGCTTCCAGTCACAGCTTAAGGGTGAACGGAGTATAGGAACTTACATGATGTCCACGGCAGAAAGGGCCTTCGGTTGTCTCGCCTCCAGCGTCTGCCTTTTACCACCTTCTACCTTCAATAACGCCTCTGGGTCTTGTGAGCTTCGAGCGTTCAGGCCACGGTGGAAGAAATGAATTTAGGTGGTGACTCTTGCCGCTCTCCCCGCGGGGAGCGAGCGACCACATCCTGTTCGGAACTAGGAGTTTACTCTGTTTCACCTTATGATGTACCGCAGGAAAGGCTACAAGCGCGAGCTCCTTACTCTAGGGCACATCCCGGCGGCACAAGCTCTCGTGACTTAAGAGCAGCTGTCAACGCTATGAGCTCGCGTTTCTAGCCTTCGCTGCGGTACAACATAAGGTGAAACGAGGTGTAGTTGTTCCGCGCCGCCGCGCAGGGCGCTGAGGTGTGGGCACCGTGGGTATGAGGTCTCTCTTCGGCGGCCACGGAGTCGGGGGCGTAGCTTGCTCGCCTTTTTCGCTGTGTGGTGGTGGTGTGCGGTCAGTGGCTGACCTCATGTTTTGCTTTGGTGCTGTGTCAATCACCGGTGCCACCATCGTGCACGAAGATGAGCATTAACCCGAAGAAGAAGTTATGCTATAAGGATGGGAAAGACGCGCTTCGTTCCCAACTGCAATTCGGGGTACCGGGACTGCGCAGAGCGAGTGTCCCTGTTTAAAGCTCCATCGAATGACGCTCGCCTGGAGCAGTGGCGTCGTACAATCCCGAGGGCCGATCAAAAGTTACTACCTAGTCTCCTCATCTCGTTGACCAAGTGAAGACCGACCTTGACAGTCTAATTTCTGTCGAAGACTGGGAATGCGAAGATGTCTGGACAGAAAAGGCTTTATGAAACCAAGGCTGTGGACTTCACGCTATATAATGTAACTAAATTTTTAAGCGTGAAAATAAAAAAAAAGCTACACGCTGCCCTGCATGCCGATCCGCTTTCAGCATCGACAAGAACACTTCTACTGAAGCAGCACTGACAAACGTGAAGAACAGAGGAGGCCTCACACACCCCAACAAGGGCCTTTTCCAGCTACTGAAGAAAGCGGAACAGTTCTTCGTGCAAAATAAAAACCACCAGACTGTCTACTGGGACACAATCGACAGTTTTCTTGACACATGCGCAATAACGTTTCCATGCGCTGAACACAAAGAAACAATCGCCCAGTTGCTCCACTACTACTTCAGCATGCGAATGCGAAAACACTGTAAGCTTATTACGATGAGTAGGAACAAACAAGTTTAAGAGATAAAAAAATCAGCAAAGCAGCGCTCCTCTTAGTTTAAGGGCATGGGCGAGGAACACAGGATGTATGAGATGGCGTTCTTTGGTAGTATGCGGTGAATTCAGCTTTTATGTACTACATTTTAAAGCAAAAATATTTGTCAGGTATTTTTTACCTGTAAGACCGGGTGGGGGACACCATATTGTGCGAGCATAGATGAAAAGTGATTTATGTCTTATAACCGCTACAATTGTTTGACTTCCAGTCACTGTGTCATCATGTCAGTCTGTACGTCATCATAATGTATCATCGTTTCACTCACTATGTTTTCATAAATAGGAATTGTTTCTGCTCACAAGGTTTGTATGTTCCACAGTACAAGTTGACATTGTATGTATAAACCATTTGTAATGCTAAAACCTTTGTGCGCATTTAAAGAATTATTTAGGCCCCACTATGTAACATTATTAGAATTTATTTGTTTCAAAAAGGCAGGAGCAAAGTGGAAAAATCACCCGACCTTATATAAAGCCACGCAATGTGTGTAAACAATTTATGGAACTGCTACCAAACATGTTGTTTGAAGAAAAAATTCGAGCATGACCCAGGTGTTTACTCCAAATACTCTAGATTATTGAAGGCCCAGTAGATTATGCCGGGAAGTTTTATATTTATACGAGTATTTTTTGTCACGTTGAGTCATCATCAAAATGTTCTCGTTTGGAAAAAAAAAAAAGAAACAGGAACCGCACGGGGGAAAGGCAATCAGTGCCAGTGCGCCAACATAAATCCATCATTTCACAACACAATACACAGGGACAGACTAAAGAATGCATAATTTTCTTCACAAGCCCTATAAACAAGCCTTCACAAGCCCCTCTATACTTGCGCGCCATCAATCCCCGTGCGAGTGAAGCGCGTTCGGTGCGCCGAACATAATGTGGTCGCCGCGCGAGACATAGAGTCATCACCTAAATGTATTTCTTCCACCGTGGTTCAGGCGCAGCCAAATCGCAGAAAAAGACAATTATCGCATGCTGGAGGCGGAGAATTCGAGAGAGAGAGACGTCCTGGTGTTTTCAACGGCAAGCAACCGACAGACAGAAGGATGGTCTAACTTACCTGTCAGCGAGGAACCCAGAGACAAGGTAGCCAGTTATCGAGCCTGCCCAGAAGGCTCCGTGCACCACATATACCTTCCAACTCTCGCTGCAAACCCATTGATTCTGAAAGCGGAACGACCAACAGCCCTTAGAACAACTACCGCTGGTAAGAAATAAGTCGAACACGATTCAGAATCATAAAAAGCACTAATTTTGTAGGCTAGAACACAGTAGCTTACAAAAAATATATGGCTCGATGGCGGGTTTTGTGTGTGTGTGTGTGTTTTATGAGTATGTGTCAAGAATAGGTGTACAAGTGCAAGAATAGGTGTACAAGTGAAGAGCCTGGGAGTTGTGACTTTAAACTTCGCGAAATCTTCTAACTGGCGAAGAAACAATAAAAACACGCACTTATGTATGTATGGTCATTATCTTTGTTGACTTGTCTGCGATATCAATTAATTGCCTCGGCAACACTCGTTAAACGATGAACGTTAAAATGTTGCTCCTTGACGTACAGGTTGGTGAACCAAAACCGTTTTATTGTTTCAAAAGCGTCTGTATTTGCCTTGTAGTCCAGCAGAGCCAATGCCTGACGTCTCTTTGGAAACTATTGCTTCTGATATGATGTGGTGATGCAGAATTCAATCCAGGTCCGCTGACCAAGGCCCAAAGCGATTAACTTTTACTAAGTGTACATGCGATTGTACAAAAACTTCAAACTAGACAGTCTGCCTTGATAAATCAAGTAAAGTAACTCGGGGAAAAGCAAACCCGGATGGAACTTGGAACCAGTCTGTCATCTTCGCGAGCAACCAGATTAGAGGCTGATCTGGCTGCCGTAAAATCAACTCCTGTGACAGCTCACACCGAAGACGCTAAAATTGCTTTCACTGAGTCTCATCTGAAACAATTACAAGCGTATTGTGACGATGTAGAGTGCCGAGCATGCCGCTCTAACTACTATCTTATTGTCTGGACAATAGGCAATCAGAAACTTGGGTTGAGTCAGAGCAGATTGTCCGAACTATATGCGCCGAAGACCTTGGCATTCCGCTAGACGATTTCGGCGTAAACAGAGCACGTAGGCTTAACTCCTTCGACCCTAACAAATGTAGGCCCTATATTGCAAAGTTCTACTTTTTCAAAAATAAACAGTCCTATCTTTCTGCCGGTTTTAAACGAAAGGGTACTAATTTATCTGTTGAGGAAGATTTTCCGGTAAATACACGAACTGCTAGGAGGGAACTGCTTGCTGATGTGAAACCTAAAAACTGTCGATTTAAGTGCCGATATGATAAGCTCTGCATAGACAACAACTATTTTGTTTGTGATCACGCTAACCAATGTGGAATGGCTAAAACCGAATAGCAATCGGAGAATAAAAAAAGAGTTTCCTCCACGCCTTTTGCCTCGTCATCCAAACAAAGCGAATCTTTCTACGCTTACTCCTGTTCTATTCACAAACATAAAAAGTATGCTTCCTATACGTGACGCGTTGCATTCGCTAATCGAATCATCCCAAGCTGACACAGTCCTTTTAACTGAAACGTGACTTACGCCCGATGTTCGTGACTCTGAAGTTTTCCACTCGTTTATGAATTATAATTTGTATAGATGTGATAGGATGTCCAAACGGGGTGGGGGTGTACTGGCTGCTGTGAACGACCGACTAACGTCTACACTTGTGACTACGGCACCGGGCTTAAAAATGGTTTGGTTACATATTTCTTCACCCTCTGTTCAAACATTCATTGGCCTCCGTTAGAGACCACCAGACAGTAATGATGTCTTTGTGCCTTTATTACAACAGTGCCTGAGAGAAGAAGAAGTGTTTCGAAGACAGGTGCGCTTTTTCAAGCTCGCTTCCTTGAATTAACATTTTTACTCTTATCAGTCGGACTGAATAGTTGGAACTCCCGACAACGTTAGTAAGTTGACTGCTCCCGTCCAGGTGAAGTCTTACGCACCGGACTTTTTCCCGGAGCACGGAAATTAACCTTGCCATGTCTTCCGGGCCACCCTCCCTACACTCAAGGCTTCACCTCTCTACCGACGAGTACAGTCTGTCTTCCTCCATCTGTGGCAGCTCAATTGCTGAATCAAAAGAGAAGGACTCTTAACATGGTGTAAAGTTGGGTGAGCTCGGGGTACATGATTAACAAAAAGTAAAACAGCTAAAAAGAAGTTGGGGCTCCAACCCACATTGTCAAGGCGGTTGGTCAGCAAAGTTGTGGTATCACCTGCAACGATTTCCTAAGTTGTGGTATCACCTGCAACGATTTCCTAAGTTGTGGTATCACCTGCAACGATTTCCTAAGTTGTGGTATCACCTGCAACGATTTCCTACTGCACTATACGAAATGCCGCCGCCGGTCGCAGCACGCCGCCGCTGGTCGTATTGACGTTTCTTTTCCCCCTTGCCGTTCCTAGTATTCACGCTGCTCGTCGGGAGTCCTAACTATGCGTGGCCTATCCATCGCGGTGCTGCAGCAACAATGAAATCAGTTGCCATACTGCGTTTCATCTTACGTTTAAGTGCAGCGGATGTTGCGAGCCATCGGAGCCAATCGGAGGCCGTGTGAGTGTCACGTGACCTTAGAGAGGGAGCACAGCGACGCGCGGAAAGCGTATCACGGGCCACGTCCACAGAACGGGATTGGCTAAGATAGCTCGTAGCATCCGCTTGTTCCGAACGTAAGGTGAAACGGCGTATAGGCGGGTTAGGCGGGTTCATCTTTTTTATATGAAAGGCTAGTGACGTCACTCCCCACGTCGCAAGCTGCCGTCGCCGCGGCAGCTTCGGCAACAGTAATCTTCACCGGGAACGTACGCGGTGAACGCTAGGTGCTCCGCAATGTTTTCAGGAGCTCCTTATCATTCATATTATATGGTTAGGACGCTTGTTTTGTGCTTATTCTCTATTGAAACAAATGTTGTGCTGTATTTTGTATGCCTGGTGTTCGTACTTTTCGCTTTATTCTTCTGAAGTCTTATTTCCGTGAGAACGCCATCCCGAAAACACACACGGGGAGGAGGAACGTGCTTCACATTGTTCGCAGGCGCCGTTATCATCTGTTATGCGGTTTGCACTTAACACGAGGGCTTCGAATGACGTCAACCCTTATCGAAGCTGCTGCAAACCAGATCGTTACCGGAAAGCGTGGGAGAGTGTTTTTATTGTTCACACGCGCCTTATCCTCAATCACGTGGTTTTGATGCTTTTGTAATTTTTTTTATTGAAACGGATACTGAGCTGTATGCTGTATGCCAGATTTCAAATGAGATATGCTGTTTTGCCTTTAATTGTTCGCCGCGAGTTTTTTGCTTACAACGCTGACGGCACGAAAATTTTCTTGGCTGGTAGAGGTATTCAGCTTCGCTGTAAAACAGAGGACAAGAAGACGAAGTGTGCAAACAAAGCGCTGACTCCCAACTGATTTATTTGAAGAAGAGACACATCAACAAGCATCACGGATCATTAAAAAAACACCAAGTCACAGCCCCCCCCCCCCCCCTCCTCCCCCGCACGTATCAAACCTGCTCGAGAATGCAAACTTTTTGTCAAATAATTCGATAGAAGCCGATCTGACGCACCTATCTTTTTGCTTCAAAATATAAAATGCCTCTAAAATTTCTCTAGTCGTCTGTTGACTTTGTCGTCGTAAGATACTCGTTTTATCAAAAACGGGTTTGCAACCGCAGCTATCACAGTGTACTGCCAAGTTGCCTGCTGGCGATAATCTAACCGATAGAGCATGCTTTCTTAACCTCTCGTTCACACATCTGCTGGTCTGTCCGATGCATTGCCACATGGCAATTTAATGTTGTAAACAACACCGACAGCGTACGACACGCACATTACCCTGTGATTTTTTCCCCATACAGGACTGCCGACTTTAGCGCAAAGACGCCCTAACTTCGAGAGCGCCGAAAAAAACACTGAGCAGGTTTGACACGTGCCGGGGGGGAGGGGGGGGGGGGCTGTGACCTGATGTTTTTTGATGATTCGTAATGGTTGGCGATTTCTGTTTTCTTCAAATAAATCAGCTGAGAGTCAGCGCTCTGTTTGTGCACTTCGTCTTCTTGTCCTCCGTTTTTTGGCGGTGTTTTACTGTTCGTCAATCATCAGACAAGGACTCGCCCATGAACACAGCTGAGGACATCACTCCAGCTCAGCAATGTGCCACAACCCCTTCACGGCGGGGTCATTCTGCCAACCAGTGACATATCACGTTCTGACTTTGACGAACCAGACTAAAAATATTCCAAGACAAGAAAAAAGCAAGAAAAGACTAGCGTTGATTCAAGCCGAAGTCCTCAGACAGTCTGCAGTGCTTCAGTAGTGGCTGAAGGGCTTACTGACGTATTCACTCCTTTAGAGGAAGGTCACGTAATTATGTCGCTGAGTGACCTATAACTGTCCCTTGCTCTGGAGATGTTCTCTGAAAGTATCCTGGAAATTAGGTTTAACAACCGCTTGAATCTCATTGCCGTTGGCGTGAGAAGCGGACAGACGACAAGAGGGCTGCTACGCTGCACGACGCTCTGCGAAGTCAAAGTAAGAGCATATGATCCTCTTCCTAGACATGGCCCACAGGTGCAGTCAGGAACGTGGGCACCACGCTGACTGACGAGTAAATTATCACCAACTTAAGGTCCCCTGAAAAAAGTTTCTCGTCTTCGACGACTAGGCAAAAGTTCAGCGATCAAGATCTCCTTCTGTGGATCAACGTTTCCAAGCTACGTTTGCCTCGGTCATGTCCGGCATGCATTTTCTCTATTCCAAGAGAACCCATTCTAATGCCCTAATTGCTGCCGCTATGGACCTCGAGAGGCATCCTGCAAGCACAGTTCAGTGAGCAAACGCTGCAGCGGCATGTACGAGGACAGAGGCTCTTGCTCCGCTCAAGAGAAGTTCATTACCTGCGGCGACGCACACTTGGCTACATCACCATCCTGCTCAAAATTGCGGCAGAAAAAAAAAGAGACCAAGAATTGCTCTAGACAACACGCAGTTGATTTTTGCACTGCCAGAACTGCAGTTCGTAAACCCGAGTGGCCGGAGCTGTCCAGAAAAGTGAAGAGCCATCTTCAACTGCGCAGGACACCTGGGCTACCAT